ACCACATCCCTAGACACCCCACAAGAGGGTTCAGAAATATTTTTGGACAACTCTGGCCTCCGAATGTTTGATCCTAGGAACATTCGCCATCCCCGTTCGGAAGAATGGACACCACCCGAACACTTGACCAGATTCATGCACTTCTGGCTCCGGAAGTCTCTGGACAAAGAAGTGAGAAAGCGTATGAGATCTGAATGTCCTCGCCCGAGCCTACCAGATAAGGTAGCACACACCCCCGAATTCGACCCGCTCATGACCACATTCATGTCCCGCGGGGGTCGGGACCCACGTAAGGGTGTGGAACGTGGTTTCAAGGGAGCTCAGGACAAACTATTAGATGCCATCGGGCCTTTGGCGAGGATCATGGATATGGCAGATGATGCCTATGAAAGGGCTGATGACTTCTCCCCAGATATGGTGCGTGAGTGGGCACGAGATACCCGAGAGTGGGCACAAAGGTGCTTCTGTTTCCTCGGGAACACTAATGTTTCCTCGGGAACACTAATCTCTTCGGAGAGGCGCCGAGCAGCACTTTTCAGAATCGATGACAAGCTTGTCGAACTGGGGGATAAAGAATTAGGCCCTTTGGCACAGGGCAAATTGTTTGGCAAAGCCTTCCTTACTGAGCTTAATAAGAGGGTCAACATATTCACTTCCCTCAATAAGGCACAAACATCAATGCGGAAAGTGTTCCGCGGCCACAACACCCGTGGTGTTTTTGGGAGGGCTGGTCGGCAGAGGGGCCGTGCCACCAGCCGCTTCTGGCCATCCGGCCCCCGCACAACCAGGTCGCAACCATTCTACACAGATCCATCTGCAAGCCATCGATTCCATCAGTTCAGGGGATCGGAACGTGGCCGTGGCAGCCGAGGACGCTCCCGAGCGAGATTCTCCAATGGTAAGTTACCATTCTATACTACCTCTAACCCCTTGCCATATCGCAGGTCGTGTTTCTCTTTTTTTCCAGAATTGGGCAGACCTCTCCTCCGACACATGGATACTTCGGACGGTGCGGGGCTATCAAATAGAGTTCGAGACGAGACCACTCCAACAGGCACCACCTCGCCCGATTCAGTTTTCACGGGCAGACGCTTCTTTGATAGACATGGAACTTCAGGACTTACACTCCAAGGGTGCCATCCAACCAGCTCCGGACTCAACCGGGTTCTACAGCAATATCTTCCTAGTCAGGAAGAAAACTGGGGAATTCCATCCCGTCATCAACCTCAAGGAGCTCAATTCCTATGTGGTGTACCGCCACTTCAAAATGGAGGGTATCCATCTTCTCCGGGACCTACTGCGAGACAACGATTGGTTCACGCGTCTAGACCTAAAGGACGCATACCTTACCATACTGGTGCACGAAAGGAGCCGCTCATATCTCCGCTTCTACTGGCACGGGACACCTTGGCAATTCACCTGTCTCCCGTTCGGCCTCAGTTCGGCCCCATGGTGTTTCACCAAAATGATGAAGCCGGTAATGGCGAGGCTAAGGGCCCAAGGCATAAGATGCATCGTCTACCTCGACGACATCCTGATATTCGACGAGGATGCAAGGACCCTAAAGAGACATACAGACTACGCCGTACACCTCCTCGACTCACTGTGTTTCGTTATCAACGGCCCCAAGTCATCACTGACTCCTGCTCAGTCGATCGAATTCCTTGGGTTCGAGATAGACTCAATATCGTGCACGCTACGCCTCCCGGCCGCAAAAATTGCCACCATCCGCAGAGAAATTCGGAAGGTACTTCGACTGACATCCATACCTTTACGTCTACTAGCACGAATCGTGGGCCTTCTCTCGTCATCCATCCAGGCCATCTTTCCTGGACCCCTGCATTACAGAGCCATGCAACGCCTCAAGACAAAGTTCCTTCGCAAAGACCCAACATACGACCAGCCGGTCACCATGTCGGACGAGGTTCGGGAGGAACTGCACTGGTGGCTGAACTGCATGCAGGCTTGGAATGGCCGGGCAATATTCGGAAACCAACCAGACTTCATATTGGAGTCAGACGCCAGACGCTCAGGTTGGGGAGCAACAGACGGCACCTCCTCCACGGGGGGAGTGTGGACTCCCCAAGAACTTTCGATGCACATCAACTGTCTGGAGCTCCTGGCGGGATCGTTCGCCATTCGCAGTCTGGCAAAAGAACGATCCAACTGCTGCATCCTTCTCCGGATGGACAATGTCTCGGCGGTAAGATACATCAACCGACTTGGAGGCACCCGCTCCCAAGCATTAGTAGAACTCACGAAGGAAATCTTCGATTATTGTCTGCCTCGCAACATCACGCTATTAGCGGAACACTTACCAGGAGAGACCAACACGACAGCAGATTGGTACTCACGCCACTGGAGGGATGCCAGCGACTGGCAACTAGACCCTCACGTTTTCACGATGCTAGATGCACAGAGGGGCCCCTTCTCCCTGGACTTATTCGCCTCCCGCAACAACCGTCAGACGAAGGACTTCTTCAGTTGGCTCCCAGATCCGGAGAGTCTAGCAACCAACGCGTTTCTGCAACAATGGCCACAACACGGGGCTTACGCCTTCCCTCCATTCTCAATGATTACGAGGGTTCTCCACCGAATCCGCAGGCAGAGGGTGATACTGACCCTCATCACACCTCTATGGCAAAGCCAACCATGGTTCCCGGATCTTCTGGAACTTTCGAACAAGGATCCCCTCCTCCTACCAGATACTCCATCCATTCTCAGGAACCCGATGGGACTACCCCATCCGCTGGTCCAGGAGGGCCCACTGCCCCTGGTGGCTTGGACTCTTTCAGGGGTTCCTGGCGAACCGAGGATTTATCGCAGGAAACTAGAGAGCTCCTATGGGACTCATGGGTGCCAGGAACAAGGAGGTGCTACTTATCAGCATGGCACTGCTGGACTACTTGTTGTCTGGGATGGGATCTCAATCTCAATCCCTTTACGGCACCTATTCCATCCATCATGAATTTCCTCACCTCTCTGTTCACAACCGGGAAGTCATACCGGTCCATTAACTTGATACGTTCAGCCATCTCAGCGGCTCATACGCCGACTCAAGGGACACCAGTGGGCCAGAACCCACTCATCTGTAGACTCCTCCGTGGCATGCGCCTTCGGCGCCCCCCGGAACCCAAATACTCGAGACTCTGGGACGTTGGCATAGTCTTACAGTTTTTACGGGACTGGCCCCTAATGAGAACTTATCACTCCGCCAGCTTACGGCAAAGTTCACCTTCCTACTCTGCCTAGTTTCCTTTCGTCGGGTGTCCGATGTACGCGCTTTCGATGCCGACGCATTTACCTTCTGCCCAGCGGGAGTAACCTTCCAGATCTCTAGACGCACGAAATCTGACTCTTCCTCTGTTTTTTACCCCTTTTTTCCCTCAGACCCACAACTCTGTGTGGTCTCTACTCTTCGTCGATACGTGGAAGCCACCGCGACGTTGCGGCCTACTTCCAATCGCCAACTTCTCATCTCTTACGTCCGCCCCTACGCTCCAGTCTCGGTTACTACGTTGGCCAGATGGGTTAGATGGCTATTAGCCCTCGCCGGGATAGACCAGGCTTTTGGTGCACACTCAGTCCGAGGGGCCGCGGCCTCTTCTGCCTACGCGGCGGGGGCCTCCCTTCCAGATATTTTACGAGCGGCGGACTGGACCAGAGAATCCACCTTTAGGACGTTCTATTTCCGTCCTCCATCTAATCCAGCTTTTGCTCTACTTACTCAGCGTTGAAATTGCAAAATACGAAGCCTCCAGTCATGTGATAAAATTGAAGATTATGCTAGCTTCAGTGTACAGATAATCTTAATTTTAATAATGACAGGAGGCGAGTATTTTCCCACCCTGCTCTCTTTCGCTCTTCCCCACCTCTGCCTTCATGTATATTTCTATCTCTTTATTCACATGTTATTTGTGCTAAATGCCTAAGTTGTTTTCTTACAATTAATACAGATATTCCATATGGGTGGGATGGCTTAGGTAGCATCAATAGATGGGAGGAATGGATTCACTCTATTGCAGTATGATGGTTACTTAATCTTAAGGGATAGACATCTCGTTGTTTTACACAACCATCTCCAGAATACCCTTTTACATTCTCGTTTCAGTTTAACCAGATGTATCAGGACACTGAAGACTTCCTTCAAGATATCATCATCGTCTTGTCATGGAAGATCGTCACTTGACATCAAGAACTCTTCCCTGTCAAGAATTCCTCATACGTTTATGTTCTATTTTCATGCTATACGTTATCTTTATTGTTGTTCTGCATTGTGATCTTGTGATGTCGCATGCTTTAAAGAGGAAATGATGTCATACGTTACACCTCTTATACTCTATACTGCATTGTGATTGGTTTTCAGTTATGTCACTCTTTTCTTTGCTGCTATGGAGTTAGTAAAGAAAGATTATGCAAAATACTCGCCTCCTGTCATTATTAAAATTAAGATTATCTGTACACTGAAGCTAGCATAATCTTCAATTTTCATATTCACTAAAGCTGAATCAGAGTGAAATTATTTCCAACCAGACTGAATACGCAGACAGTTTGCCTAGTGTTCCTCTTCCATTACTTTTATGACAATTGAGCATAATGATTAACTAATTCTGACAAAGTAATGTCACAACTATTGTTTGCGTAACAAGGTACAGTTTGTTTGATTTACGGCCAACTCATGCATTTCGAACTACTATTTACTGTTGTTTAGCAAAATCTCTTGTTACATTTTCTCATTGTTACCCCAGCAATGATATGTTACGTTTCTGTTTGACAGGTTTTACACAATAAAAGCAAGGTTGATTTTAGATTATATCGTAAACTAACTACAGTATGGTATTTTTAGATTGTTCGTAATATTATTCATTCCTGCAATTATTCACTGCTGATTCAACACTTTTACAATGCTCAGCAAGCTCATCGCAAAGCAATATACTCATGTTATGCATCTTGCCAAGGCTATTTACTTTGTCCAATAGTATGAGAAGAATGAGTAATGTAATGCAAATACCATTCAAAATGTATCAATATTAGAATCCACATGGATGGACAGCCTAGTCTCGCTAGTGGTCAGCGCCTGGAGTGGTCATCGTATTACAGTCCACATAGCCAAGTAGACTGTGTTTTCCTGAACATGTAGGATGTCTTCATACTGACTGTTGATACTTGTGAAGTGCTGTCCAATAGCATGCAGAACTCATTAAAGTCTTGCAGCCAAATGTTGCGCTTTAGTCTTCAGTTAACTACAATTATGCATTGCTGTTCCTTTTGTTTAATTACATCTGCCTGCATCTTTAACACCTTGAGTGCCTGTGGAATGTCTTTTGGTGCCTGAGGATTTACACTTTAGGCATGTCCAAAACCCCCCCTTTGCTGCCAATTATTATTTTTTTGTAAACAAAGCAAAGGGACTTATTTTCCTTATGTCTGATAAATGACTTATGTCCTTATGTTTTCAGGTGACAAAAGTTGACAAGGCTGGAGCTTTAGTCAAGGTCCACAGACTCTGTCAGCTTTGTCATTGGCTGCATTCACCTCTGGGAGCAGCGTGTCACTGGCACTCTTTGATGACTGTCATATTAGTCGACACAGGTCCATTGAAAGCCTTAATGTGCTTGCCCAAGGAAGGGCAGAATATGGACTTCCTAGCCGCCTTGATCTTAGGAACTGGCGGGACCAACATCAGTGGATGCAGATTGCAGAGACACAGGTCCTGTTTCCCATGGCTTCATTGCCACCATTGACAACTGGTGTGTGCAAATGACCTGCACAATTCCTGCCGGCTGTTCTCTGCAAACACATATTCGAATGCCCCTTTGTTATTTTAACCTTATTTCATTAACAGAAATAGTTCAAAAAAGATTAAGAAAATATTCTAGGATATGTTTGGTGTAATAAATAAGAATAATGCTATCATATTTTAATGTTAAACACTGCATTTTATAAATGTGGCTCTATCAATAAAGGATTACATTAAGATTGCATCATATCTTCTGATTATAAAACATTCACCTGAGTACGTTGTGTTTAAGAATACTCACATCCGTCTTCATGCCAGGGATTGCATGTTTACAAACAACTGCGTTACTATGGTTATTCTATTGTATGTGCTTAGTGCACTTCCTACTTGTGCTAGTTTCAGTGATAAGCATTAGTTTATGTTAAAGCTGTCAAAACTCTAATCTACAACTTCCCAAACTGTTTGAATGCAACAGAGGAGGAGGGGATTGTAGGCATTGTAGTTTAACAATATCTGGAGGGCCGAAGTTTGAGAGCCTTCGTTCATCAGGGCCGGTGCAAGGATTTTTGCCGCCCTAGGCAAAAAAGATTTTTCCGCCCCCCTCGCTCCACCCATGATGAGACATCAAAATACCCAACCCATGTGATCTGTCCGTGTCATGACATCACAAAGAATTATCAGGAATTCAAAGTGAATTTTGTATTTAGGTGAAAAAAAAAGCTAAACCGCAAACTTGGCTGAATTGGAGATATTTTTTTTTACAATTTGGTTATTTTGTCTTTAAATTAGAAATTCACTCGAAATCCATTTTGAATACTCAGCAATTGTCACTTTAGTAAATAACCCTGTTACAGCATAGTTCAAATTGTACGTTTCATCATAGGAACACTCCAAACACCATATCAACATGCAGACACACATATACACACAATGACCAATGCACAAACACACACACACACACACACACACACTGAGCCTACACACACACACTGACCAATGCACACACACATACATACATAGTTACATAGTTACATAGTTACATAGCTGAAAAGAGACTTGCGTCCATCAAGTTCAGCCTTCCTCAGAAATGTTGTTGCTGTTGATCCAAAAGAAGGCAAAAAACCTGGTCTGAAGCACTTCCAATTTTGCCACAAACTAGGAAAAATTCCTTCTTGACCCCAAAATAGCAGTCAGATGTCTCCTTGGATCAATCAGCTATTACCCCACTAATTAGAAATTATATCCCTGTATGTTATGTTTTTGTAAGTATTTATCCAATTTCAGTTTAAACATCTGTATGGACTCTGACAAAACCACCTCTTCAGGCAGAGAATTCCATATCCTTATTGTTCTTACTGTAAAAAAACCTTTTCTTTGCCTTAGATGAAATCTCCTTTCTTCCAGCCTAAATGTGTGACCTCGTGTCCTATGTATAACCCTGTTTATGAATAGATTTCCAGATAAAGGTTTGTACTGGCCCCGAATATATTTGTATAAAGTTATCATATCCCCTCTCAGGCGCCGTTTTTCCAAACGAAACAGATTTAATTTTTGTAACCTTTCTTCATAACTAAAATGCTCCATTCCTTTTATCAATTTTGTAGCTCGTCTCTGGACCCTCTCCAGTGCCATGATATCCTTCTTTAGAACAGGCGCCCAAAATTGCACAGCATATTCAAGGTGTGGTCTTACCAGCGATTTATAAAGAGGCAAAATTATATTTTCATCCCGAGAATTTATGCCCCTATTAATACATGACAAAATCTTACTGGCCTTAGCAACTGCAGATTGACATTGCATATTGCTGCCTAATTTGTTGTCTATAACAATGCCCAAATCCTTCTCGTGTGTGGTTATCCCTAATTTACTACCATTTAGTGTGTAAGTTGCTTGTGCATTCTTAACCCCGAAGTGCATAACTTTGCATTTCTCTATGTTAAATTTCATCTGCCATTTTAGTGCCCAGTCCCCCAATCTATCCAAATCTCTCTGCAACAAAGCAATATCCTGCTCACATTTTATTACTACATACACACCAGGGATGTATTTACCACAAGGCAAACAAGGCATTTGCCTAGGGCGGCACTTTCAGGAGGGGCGCCCAAAAAACGCCACACCAAGCTCCCAGACAAATGCTTTGTTTGCCTCGTGTTCCAGGGCTGTCCACCTTACTGTGAGTGAGTGAGTGTAGCTGTCAGTGTGTGTCTGTGAGTGAGAATGGGTGTGCCTGTAAGTGTGTCAGTGTGTGCATGTCATTTTATGTGTATCTGAGAGTGTGTGGTTCAGTGAATGGGTGTGTCAGTGTGTCTGTCAGTGAAAGTGTGTGCTGGTTAAACAGTGTGTGCCAATGACTGTATGTGTGTGCCAATGACTGTGTATCTGTCAGTGAGTGTATATCAGTGCATTTATCAATGAGGGCATGTGTCTGTCAGTCAGAAAAGTGGCCTTGACACGAATTGGGGGGGCAAATTTAGAATTTGGGGGTGCTCGAATTTAGTTGTGCCTGGGGCAGCAGAAATCCAAAATACACCATTGATACACACACTGACTCATGCACAAACACACATACACACACACACTGACCCATGCACACAAACACATTCTCTAAAATTCTAAAATAAACACTTACCTCCAATTGCATATATCAGTTAGCAGCCTGGCATTCCATTACTCCCTTAATAAGCCTCACTTCCTGCTCCCACCCACTTGACCCCAAGTACAGGGCAGGGGGCGAGAGTGAGTGAAAGGTGGACCCAGTGCAGGACTTACTGGGACACTCTCTGCCACCATGCCCCACTTCCTTCATTAATCCCTCCCTCTAACATGTCCCCATGCACAGTGCAGGGGGCGGGTGCACACAAACGCTGCGTCCGCGCATTCCCTGATGAAATGGGGATCAAAGCCAGGCAATGGTGTTAGGTAGTTCTGCACAGTGTAAGTAAAGGGCATTTTTCTTTCTGACCATGTTACCAGTGGCACGGCGCCCCCACGGTCTGGCGCCCTAGGCAACCACCTAGGTGGCCTAATGGAAGAGCCGACCCTGTCGTTCATGTCTCTTTTTCAGCAGCTATAAATGTAATGCAATAGCTAGAGAAAGGCTTCAGTTTAAACTGAAAGTAACTTTGAAGGTCTTGTCACACTGTATGGTGTTGTTGTTATTATTATTATTATTATTGTTAGTATATTGGCATTTATGTAGCGCCAGCTTATTCTGCACTGCCTTACAATATTATAAAGTGGGAAATTCAACAATAAAAGAGACAATTACAAATTGTTACAGGAACAATAGGTAAGTAGGGTAGACAAAGTGGGTAAATAGCAGAATTCAAAGGTGAGAGTGGAGTGTGGCCTTCAGAGAGAGCGTGAGAAGTAGGCTTGTGAAATAATATTCACCTGGGTGGTCATAGGCTACTCTGGGTTTTGAAGGACTTCTTAACTGTCCACCTCAAACTTTGCAACTCACATCACTGAGAAGATTTCTTCAGTCAGGGAAGAGATCTCTAACCTCTCTCGCTCCCTTTCCAATACATCTTCCCAGGGGTGTGCTTACTGCGAGGCAAACAAAGCATTTGCCTTGGGCGGCACTTTCTGGGGGGTGGCAAAAAAAAGCCGCCACCCAATTGTCCTGGCAAATGCCTTGCCAGCCTCTTGTCCTGTGAGGCTGGCCACCTCAGGTCCCCCTCAGGCTGGCAGCGGCGGAACATTCCAGCAGGCGGTGAGGGAGCACTGATCCTCCTGTTCAGCTCCTTCACGCGCACCGCAGTGATGCTGGAGCCAGAATATGATGTCACTCCAGCCCCAGCATCACTACGCGGTGTGTGAGGGAGTTGAACAGGAGGATCATTACTCCCTCGCCGATAGCAGTCACCGGCCGTCCACCCATCAGCACCACTGGACCCCAGGGAAAATGATAATCCACCCCAGCATTCCCAAAGGTAGGGAGGCTGGGGGGATTGAATTTAAAAAAAATTTGAGTGTGTTAGTGTGTGTGGGTGTCTGTTAGTGAGTGTGTCTGTGTATGTGTTAGTGTGTGTGTCTGTTAGGGAGTGTGTTACTGTCTGTGTCTGTTAATGTGTGTGTGTGTGTGTGTGTGTATGTGAGTGTCTGTTAGGAAGTGTGGGGGTGTCTGTTAGTGAGTGTGTGTGTGTCTGTTAGTGTATGTGTCTGTTAGTGAGTGTCTGTCTGTTAGTGAGTGTGTCTGTGTGTGTGTTAGTGTGTGTGTGTCTGTTAGGGAGAGTGTTTGTCTGTTAGTGTGTGTGTCTGTTAGAGAGTGTGTTACTATGTGTGTGTCTGTTAGTAATGTGTGTCTGTTAGTGGTTTAAAGGGACTCTATAGTCACCAGAACAACTACAGCTTATTGAATTTGTTCTGGTGAGTAGAATCACTACCTTCAGGCTTTTTGCTGTAAGCACGGTCTTTTCAGAGAAAATGCAGTGTTTACATTACAGCCTAGTGATAACTTCACTGGCCGCTCCTCAGATAGTTGTTAGAGATCCTTCCT